ATGGGTCCTCAGGATGCTGGCAGGGGCTGATGTGAGCAGGATGGAGGATGGAGGAGGCCCAAGCACCCTCCCATATTTCCTTGGCAGACCAGCATTTCACAGATATCACTGCCTTCTTGGTCCCTGGTCTTCTCTTCTGGGCTCCCTGCAGATTCTAAGAACAAGTAAGGCAAACTTAAGCAGCTTTCTAGTTGTTTCTAGGTACTAAAATACTATACAGTGGGCTCCTTCCTCCTGAAATCTTAGCTTAAAAAGCACTTTCAGGGGGAACTGGAGAGATGGCTCAGTGGTTAAGACTACTGGCTGCTCTTCCAAAGGACCTGGGCTCAATTCTCAGCACCCACATGACAGCTCCAGTTCCAGGGGATCTGACACTCTCATACCAACGAACATAAAATAAAATTAAACAAATGTAGCTTATTAGAGAGGTGAGGAGCTTAGAAGGTGGCAAGCCTTAAATGATGACACTATGACTTTGACAACTTGCATTCTTTTAGGGTAACCATTTGGGCCATCCATAAACAGTCCTGGGAAGCAAATGCTATGGGAACAGGCCCAGGGTTGGGGTCAGACACATCCACTTTGCCATCTTCCGCACAGCAGCGGCCATCAGTCTATATGGCTAGTATGAAAAGAGATAGGCGACAAGCAAAAATGCACAACAGGAGCCAAAGAATTACACAAACACAAATGAAGAACTACCTCATTGGTTTTAATAGTGAGCAAGTATTGAAAAGACAATATTTGGGGGGCATAATGGGTTAAACATGTCAAACAATAATTTTAATGTGTTTACCTTTTAAAATGTGGCCATCGGGAAAAGCTTGAGCTACACATGTGACTTACATTTATTTCTATTGGACAGAGCTGTTTTAAGTGGGTCCCCAATTCTTGTACAAAAACTAAAAAAAAAAAAACATTGCTTTCTCTTCAAAGATCTTTTATTATAAGGGAAGATTTCACATCACATTGATCAAGTGCTTATAAAAGGAACATCACTGCTTTTTAAATTAAAATTCCATTTCCTTCTTTGAATGAAGCTGCAGTGACCATCTTTGGCACTTTAGAGCAGTAGATCATTTCTAGATTCCAGACCTACGGAACAGGATGGTTCCCAGAACGAGAACCAGCCCAGAGCCACCATGAGAACACATCACCCTTTCCGTGTGAGTGTGAGTGTCAAGTATCCGGAATAGACCTAAATGCTCAAACTTGAAAGACCCAAGTTCAAGGGCCCATTCCTGCTGTGCCTCCAAAGCCACAGAGTAACCCTGTCTCGAAAAAAAGAAAAAAAAGAAAAAGAAAAAAAGTTTCTTTGGGAAGGAAGAGAGTGGCATACTTTTGAAAGTTTTAAATCCCTTACAACTCCAGTCCAGTACTGTAGAATGTAGTGGAAAACAAACCTCAAACAACATGCACAAATACTTCAAGGTTCCAGGCTCCAGTAACAAGCTTCTATAAAACGAGAATGAAAATCAAAAGCAGATAAGCTACAACAAATAAGCCGGGCGTTGGTGGCGCACGCCTTTAATCCCAGCACTCGGGAGGCAGAGGCAGGCAGATCTCTGTGAGTTCGAGGCCAGCCTGGTCTACAGAGTGAGTTCCAGGACAGCCTCCAAAACAATACAGAGAAACCCTGTCTCGAAAAACCAAAAAAAAAAAAAAAAAAAAAAAGCTACAACAAATAAAAGGTGAAATTTAGCTTGTAATGGATATTACCTCCAGGTAAATGTTGACATTTCTTTTCCTTTTTTTTTTAATATGTAAAGTAGAATCAAAAGTATTGGGCTGGAGAGATGGTTTAGTGGTTAAGAGCACTGATTGCCCTTCTAGAGTACCTGAGTTCAGTTCCCAGCACCCACATGAAAGCTCTCAACTCCAGCTCTAGGGGATCCAACAGCCTCACACCAGTGCATATAAAAAATAAAGTTAAGCTGGGCATGGTGGCACATGCCTTTAATTCCAGCACTTGGGAGGCAGAGACAGGCGGATCTCTATGAGTTCGAGACCAGCCTGGTCTACAGAGTGAGTTCCCGAACAGGCTCCAAAGCTACACGGAGAAACCTTGTCTCGAAAAACAAAAACAAAACAACAAAAAGTTAAATTAAAAAAAAAAAGGTGGTGGTGGTGTTGCACACACCTTTAGTCCCAGGGCTTGGGAGGGAGAGGCAGGTGGATCTCTGTGAGTTCAAGGCCGGCCTGGTCTACAAAGATACACAGAGAAACCCTATCTCGAAAAACAAACAAAACAATACAAAACAAGGTTGATGTTTAGCTGGGCAGTTGTGGTGCACACCATTAATCCCAGCACTCAGGAGGCAGAGGCAGGCAGATCTCGGTGAGTTTGAGGCCAGCCTGGTCTTCAAAGAGAGTTCCAGCACAGTCTCCAAACCTACAGAGAAACCCTGTCTCGAAAAACCAAAAAAAAAAAAAAAGAAAAAAAGAAAGAAGGCTATTTCTGCCAAGTGATAGGCTGGTTCTAAAGGAAGCCTTTGGTCTTTTGTCTGGACTAAGACTAGTCACCCGCCCTGTGTGACCTAACATACAGGCACAGGGTGTTAAAGAATCTGCTTCTCATATGCTCCCAGCAACCCTGTACCCCCCAGCAGCAACTGCCTGGTTCCAGGCAGTTCCCTCCTCTGTGGCAAGGCTGGAGGTAATCCCAGCCCTAACTCCACCCCATCCCATCCTTTCAAAAAACCAGTCTTGTGTTTTTCTAATTACACCATCCTTAGCAGTCTGGGCTTCCTCCACAAGCAGTGAATACTGCCTCCAAGATCTCCAGCCCCAAGGATCACTGCTTTGAACTAAGGCACTATCTCGTTCTCAAGGATTCTGGGTGGTTAAAGGGCTTGTGGAAAGGTAACCAGCATAAGGGATCTGCCGTGGCAGAGACTGTGCAGAACAAGGAAGCTTTCTCCCCACCCTTCCCCCTGAGGCTGCATGAGTGTCCAGGGAGCATCACTCTTGTTCACGACGCCTCCGTAAGTATCCTTGTTTGTGGTCTGATGAATGGTGTCGACTAACAGAATAGCTGTGTTTACAGTTTGTAAGTTTCTGTGTGCTAAAAGGGGAAGAAGGGGGCATGAAATGCTCCTTATTGCCCCAGATGCTGTGTTGGAGAAAGTTCTGGATTATTTTTTTCTTTTTAGATAACTGGCTTTGTTATATGTGTTTCCTGAATTTTGAGATAACTGTGGATTCATGTAAGGAATCATAGAAAAAAAGCTTCCAAATGCTTCATTAAGTTTTCTCAGAACTGTAGCACAATACAAGCAGAAAATAAGGAACTAGGCTTTGGTCAGCTGGGGCCCCCACTAAAATCTCACCAGTTTCACAGTGTTGGGTTGTGAGCATTAAGTTCTAGGCAGTTTTGCAGCATATGTGATGTTCTTCTGAATCCTAGGTCTGCGAAGGGCTTTCTGTGTGAAGCCCGGAGTTCCTGGACTTCAGTTGCCTTCTTTGAAAACGCTCTGGAGTCTAGCCCCTTAGGACTTCGAGTCTTCTTTCTGGCTTTTAAAATGCTGTGGTGTCTACCTCCTCAGGGTGCTTGTCATGGGGAACAGGTCACATCAGTTTCCAGAAGCCTGAACTTGCCAGTTTCCATTCTGTCACCTAGAATTTGTCTTCTTTCAGAAATAATTGTGGGTGTAATAACGCCATGAGGGCCATTCTTAGGTCCCAAGGAGGCATTGCCTCTGGCCTATAGCTCACTCCATAGCCTGGCTTTGTGATCCTGTTCGGCTGATTGTGTTAAGAAGTATAGGGATGAGAGGAGAAAACCTAGATAAGGTAGAACTTTTGAGGGTGCCTACGGAACTGGCATGGGAAAAAGCTGCAGCCGGGGCCGGGCCCAGCCCAGTAACCTCGATGGCCCAAGGACCACCAACTCCAAGGACTTTCTGTTCTGCGACTGTAACAAAGGATTGACTGCATTCTCAGAAGGTTATAAAAGGGCCAGGGCACCTCTAAGGATGAGAGGCAGTCACAAATATATCTAGAAGTGTCGGAGGTCCAGAGGGTTCAGCGCTCTCCAGGGCCCTTTGCTCTTTGGAACCCTTTCCCAGGACCTTCAAAGGACTCCGTGGGGCTGGGAAATCCAGGGTCGCCTGCAGATTATAGCGGTACCCGAACTTCCAGTTTAGGTCTATCAGGCTGGGGTCTTCTCTCTTCAGAGAGTTTGTGGGTCCTGTGCCAAGTCACCAGGTGCTAGCGAATGCCTTTGAGAGGAAAAGGAGGCGGCAGGCAAGGGACCTCGTGGGGGCAGTGCCAGCTGGTGCGCCAAGGCGACCTTGTGGTGCTGAACCCGCACGCAGAGCCAGGACGTTCCCAAGTTCAAATCTCTTACGCGGGGGCTCGCATCCGCGGGCTCACAACCGCCACCCGCTCCTCCCTCGGCAGCGGCGGGAGGAGGAGCCGCGCCCTGGCCGGCGTCCCCTTGACTCCTCCCTGCGCGGCCGGGCTCTTCCTCCCCGGCGGTCCGATCTCCTGGTGGCGGCGACTGAACCGGGAGCGAGCGAGCGCGCTGGGCGCGGCCGTCCGTGTCGCCCGGCGGAGCCCGAGAGCCCCGTGGTCATGGTCTGTGCTGTGGAGCGGGGCGCCTGAGCCCCGGGACGCGGTGAGCGACAAGCTGGGGATCGCCGGGGGTCGAGCGACCTGGGACAGCTCGAGGCCTTGGCTGCCCACGCGCCGCCTGCTTGGGGACCCCGAGCGTCCCGCGCCGTGCAGACCCGCAGATCCCGGTCCAGCACGCGGTGGCGGCCCGGGAGGGGCGCTGTCGCCCGCGGGTGGCGGCGGGGAAGGGGGAGGGGCCGCGGCGACGGCGAGGGCGGGGGATGAGCCGGCGTGCTTTTGTGAGCGCTGGCCCCTTACATATGGAAATGACGCCCGCGAGGGTCCCTAGTCGCGTCCTCTGGAAGGACGCGTGCCCGGATCGGCGGCGGGGGCTGCTCGGTGTCGCGGCGCTCGCGGGGCCCTAACAAAGCGCCCTTTCCTTGCAGAGCTCCGGAGGCGGCTGGCGCGGGCGCTCCCCAGAGGCCGACGGAAGGTAGGCGAGGCCGGCGGGGCCCGACCACCGATCTGGCGAGTGAGCTCGGCGACCCGCGGGTGGGCAGGTGGAGCAGGGACGCCGCGCGGGTTGCTAGGGACCTGGGCTGGCCCGCCCTCCCGCCACACCTCCGCCTCCCAGACCTGAGGCTTCCGGAGCTGAAAGCTGTTACTGTGCCTCGCTCCAGCAGCGGGCCTGACCCGGAGCGAGCAGAAAGGGTTCTTGTTCTGTGGGTCGAGGCCACCCAGGCAGCTCCGAGATCCAGAAACCCGCGCGGGGAGCCCCTGGGTGTCGGCCTGCGCCTCCCGCGAGCGCAGAGCTGTTTGGAGTCCTAAAAGTGGAGATTTTAGACGGTGCGTGGGATCAGTGCAGGTAGAGACTTTTGGGTGCAGCTAGCAGGAAAGGGCGACAATGCATTTTGACAGTTGCTCTGAAACCTTGGTCGCCAGAGCAGAGGAGTGTGAAATGAAGTGAGGAGTGGGCATGGGGGGGGGGGGAAGAAGTCGAGACTCGGGGTCTGTACTGCAGTTCCATCCCCACTGCCTCCGAAAAGGACAACTTTTGGAAACCAGCCTCCGCTAAAAGCTCTCTGTGAAATTGGGAGAGACTGGAAGGGGAGATGTTCCCAGTCTCATCCCGGACAGATCCGCGAAGGTGCAATTGAAAGGGAGCTGGAATAGTGCCCTGCCACGGATCGTGTTTCCATGCAACTATTATGAGACGGTCTCACCGTCCCTCACCTGGGACAGACCCTCTCCAGGCGCTGAGAAGTCTTGAGAAGGCTTTCCATGCAGCTCGACAGAACCGGTTGTGTGGTTGTCTAGGGGGCTGCCACGCGAGCTTTTAGGGTGCTCATCATAACACCCGAACTAGGCTCCTGGGCCCACGAACTGTTCTCAGTTGAGTTCTCTCAGATATGTCATGCTGGTATAAATCTATCTATTTGCATGCTTCCCGAGACCTAACAAACCACAGGGAAATGCTTTGGTGGCATCAGTGTAGCTTGCTCTAGGGTCTTTTCCAGTGGTAGCATGGGCTTTTGCAAGCTGGCCTGGAGTATTAGTATTTCCTGCTGTGAAATTGGAGGTATCTATGAAATACCCAGACTGCTTGCCTGTAACATGCCAGGCGGACTGAGAGAGGAGTTTGTGTGGTATCTTCATCTGTGGCTGGTGCTCATCGGGAGGTGATGAGAACCTCTGGGGGGCAGGGGCATTGGCAACCTGTTTGTTTTCACGGCTCTCTGGTGCCTTAGGGGGAAGCACTCTGGGCTGCAGTTTTGAGAAAGCAAATGGATTGTCATAAGCAACGTTCTTGCCAGCACGGATACGGGGTCCTCGTGTTGAAATGTCATGGTTCAGTCATTTTAATAGGTGCCTGCTCAGAATGTCATAAGTTCTGTTTTCTTATCCCCTTTTCATTTTAGATATGTAACGGTCCTTCATATCAAAGGATGTTAACTCACAGGACCAGGGCGCCACTGGATTCTGAGCCAGTCTTTAATAGGCAGTGTTCTTATCATGAGTCAAATGCTGTTCACATAAATTGTTTTAAATGTCACTGTAAATGACTTTCTAAACTAGCATCTCACCAGTCTTGATGCTTCCATTTTATGCTGATAATGAAAATACATTTTATGAGTCTTACACTGATAGAGCCTTGGCAGGTGTAACCAGAATGAACATTTTAGAGGGAGTCAGACAGCTAGAGCCATTCAAAAGGCTTACTTTTATAGATGCCAACTCATTTGTAAGCCAATAAATAATGCAGTTTGAATTCTGGCTATTGATCTTGCATCTGTTGGCCAGTGGCTTGTGTGTGTGTGTGTGGGGGGGTGTTCACTGAACCTTGCAAAACGACATATTTATCCAATTACATTTACAAAGAAGATACTTTAAAACATTAAGGAATTATGCAAATGAGAACTTCAGTAGACATTAGCTTGCTTCTTTACTGCAGTTTGTGTAAACAGTTAGACCTTGCTCTGCATGGGACGTGCATAAAGCATCAGCTATATCCTAGTACCTCAACACAGTTGGTGAAACAGCATGTATAGATGTGAGAACAGAACGTCTCCACTCATGCCCTAGAGCTTATAGCGTCACCTATCCTAAATGAATTTATGTAAATATGGTTCAAGAAGTGAAAGTTGTTTCAGGCGTTCTTTCTTTTCTTTCTTTTTTTTTAAGGAAAAAAAGTAAACAACACAAAACTGTTTTCTTCTTCTTCTCCTCCTCTCCCTCCTCCTCCTCCTTCTTTTTGCTCCTGTTTGTTTTGCCTTAGTGGTTGATTATAGGTTGCTGGATCTATGTTGTGCAAAGCTGTTTTTTTTTTTTTCTCTTTAACTGATTAGGCAATCTACCTGCTATTAGGTATAACAAAAGCCTGGGCTCACATCAGCCTTCTGGACAGTAAAATACTAAAGCTTGTTAAGGTTGAGACTAAATGCTAGCAGGGTGCCCTTGCACAATTACATGTTATAGTATGGTTAGCAAAGCGAGTTTCCTTTCAAATTCATTTGAATGTGAATTTTCCCTGTTCAGTGGCATGTTGTAAATTGTGTTCCTGGTGATGCTGTATTGCAGTTGGTTTCCAGCTTTGTTGGAGCAGGGAGGAGGCATTTGAGCGCAAGCAGTACTTTGAAGGAGAGATGTAGGTAAATTGCTTGCCCTGGAGCTTGTACTGTTGAGTTTATTCTCCTTATTTATTACTCCCTTTGATACTAGAATTGGTATAAGAGTAGGCCTGGGAAATTTTTCAGCTGGTAAAACTGTTTGCAGAGAAGAGGGAAGAAACACTTTAATTTGATCAGGCACATTATTAAGGCCTAATAAAGGCGTCAATGAAAAGCCTTAGCAGGCAGGAGATGTCTGTGTTCATCACTGCAGCCCCAAAGTAATGAAATGAGTCGCTTGGTGGTCACTGCCTGGGCTGCGTACCCCCAACAGCTGTCTCTGATCACAGGTCCCAAAGCATCTTTTATGATACTCTGGAAAGGGGAGAGGCTGAGTAGAGGGGCACTCAGACATTCCGCAGAGCCGGTCAGCTGCTGGGCCATCTGGAAGCGAAATAAAAGGCCTGGGCTAGGGGCTCTGGCTTTCTGCTTATGTATGATTTGGTTTTCACTTGCCACATTTTGTCCCCTTTTCACTCCCTCCAGCCCAGAGCAGACACCCACCTTGTCTGGGTTCCCTTCTTACAAGTTCCTTTCTATAACCCGGTGTGGGGAAGTTTACACGTGTGCTTCACACTGACTGGCCTTCTGTGGGGCACTTCCTTACCCACCTATTTCTTTCGACGTCTGAGTTGGCACTGCTTTCCTGGGGGAGGGGCAAGTGGCACGCAGCACAGATCTGTGATCGCTGTCTCCATCAGAGTCTGTGGCCTAGGGATGTGGTCTTGTTTAGGACTCTTTGGCAGGAAGATGCCCAGTAACTGTCAATATGGATGGCTATAGGGTAGTAAATGTTTTCATTGCCCACTCTCCCGTCTGCCTTTTATTCAACTGTCCCTATTGCCCACACTGGCCCTTTTATTCCAAAAGAGTCATAAAGGCTTCTGGCTAGATGATTGGGAAGGCCATTGGTAAAGCTTTACCAAGGTTTATGGCTGTCTTCATTAAACTGGAATTGTTCTTTGCAACTTCAAGGAGGATTTACTACTCTCTCTCTGGTTTTTTGTTTGTTTGTTTTTGTTTTTGTTTTTTTGAGACAGAGTTTCTCTGTGTAGCTTTGGAGCCTGTCCTGGAACTCACTCTGTAGATCAGACTGGCCTCGAACTCACAGAGATCTGTCTGCCTCTGCCTCCCGAGTGCTGGGATTTAAGGCGTGAGCCACCAATGCCTGGCAGATTTACTACTCTTAATTCGTCTTTGTAAGTTTCTTGTTGCTGACTCGTGCCTGCTTGGCCTGGAGAGTACTGGATCCCCAGATTAGACACTGAGTATTCATTCAGGGGAAAGATCCAGAATGATGTGTGGGTCCTAAGCTGAATCCATTACTGACGTCTGGGGCTCTTCAAGATTGTCTTAATGTAAGAATGTGTCTCTTCTCTGATTCAAATCCCAACACTGCTCCAGAAAAAGAGAGTGCCTATCGTACCTGTATTCCTAGGGATTGTAGGCTGTGCTCTTTTGGCCAATGGATCAAGGTAGGTGGGGATCTCCTACCACTGCCCATTCTGCTTTGGAACTGTGTGTGGCCTATGACTGTCCTAGATTCTCTCAGTACTGTCCAGCCTGCTGACACATAAGGAGTCATCTTAGTAGTCCCATCATTGTTGCCTCCCGTGTTCATGCATAAGATTGAGGGGTCACAACAGTAGCTTAGTTCCTCCTCCACTGTAATGCTGTGGCTTAACAGGTTGCTTAATTTTGCCAAACCCCAGTTTCTACATTTGAAATGGGAAAGTGCCACTATCTATGCTCCTGAATTAGGAGGAGTAAATTATATGAATGAGATGGTCTACATAAAGAACTTGGCATAGGCCAGGCTCACTGTAAATGCTGGGAACAACATAGTAATGACAACTTCTGGATTCCCATCTCTGTCTCGGCCTTTCTGTGGTTTTATGATATTAAATTTGTCAATAATCTGCCTTTTTAGGCTCAGGGAGCCAAGCATTATCTGTTACCTGTATCAGTCATTAATATAATGATATTCCCGTTTTTACCCTCTGTTTGGTGGCATTCCACATCGGCTGTTTCACTGCTCAGCAAGCAGATGTTTGTCTGATTGACTTAAGTTACTCTCCTAAGCTCACGCTTCCTTTCCAGGCCTCAGGTATTTTTCTTGCTTGATTTTCAGTTGCCTCTCTTGGACTGGTTTCTCTGAGCCTAGCCACTTCCACTAGCTTGCCCTACTTAGTTCCAGAACAGCCCTTCCAGATGGCTGTCCTTTTTTCTCATTGTCTAAACGAGGGGACTTGAGAAGTGTTTTAGCACAGATTCTCCTCCAAGTTTTGTGTCCTCGCTGAAAAATGCAGCTGTCGCTTGTGACGCCTTTGGCATACTCTCCAATGTACCGAATTATACTTTTGCTGACTTCACTGTAGTTTGGTAGTCGTTGTTGGTGCTGTATTTCTTCTTGGTTCTGCCTAACACCGAAAATGCCCTTGAAAGGGGGGAGATGGAGATACCATATGTGGAAGAAGTCAGTGCAGAAACTGCCTATGATGATTTTGTCATCTCCCACAGGGTGTAAGTTTCCTTCCCTGGAACCTCCATAACATGAGATCAGTCCATTTACCGAGTCCTTGGCCAAAAGAACCGATTGTGTTATTTGGTTGGGGGGAAGGAAAGACAATAGTGAAGTGGAAACTGTGGCCCTTACACTTCAGTTTCTGGCAAGTGGGGAAGGGAAACATTCTTGCACGGGGAAATTACAGATGAACATTTGGAGAATTGTATCTACCAGCAAAAATGCACTTGGTGCCAGATGAGAACTGACAGCTCGTCGCCATGTGTGACATCTCCTGGATGTTGCAGTTGGGGCACTTGTCCCACTGGGGCGGAGCCCTCCTTCATCCCTATCACTCCCACCCCCATGCACCCCTCACTCCCCCACCCCCATGCACCCCTCACCTCCCACCCCACCCTCGCCTTCAGTCTAAAGAACACTTCTCCTAAGCTCGAAGCTTGCTGTCTGGGGAACCTGGGAGATGAAGTTGAGGGACAAGAGAGAAAAGCTGCCCTCCAATGAAGGTAGTTTAATCTAGTGAATACCACTGGCCTCCCTAAATCAGACATGCTTGCTTGCCAGACTCAAAGCAGAAGATAGGGCCGGGCCTTGTCAGCACGTGGTGAGTTTCATTCCCTTCCATTGGCTGAGGCAGACAGATCACCACCCTTGAAGATGATGTTTGAAGGGAGACGTGTTAGGATTCTTTCACTTTTGAGTTTACAAACCCGTATGCAGAAATCAAGCAAAAATAGACCTGGCTGGTTTTTCTGCCAGATTACAACCCAGAGGACTCTAAGAGTGAGCCTCAGCGCCATGAAAATCCCTGAGCAGGAGGATGGGGGCAGTGAGGGAGGAGGTGAGAGGGGATGGGGGGGGTCACAGCAGATCTTAGTCCACAATTAACTGGCCCACCCTCATTAGCCAGAGCCTTTCTTTTGTGTCTCAGTTTAACACCTAAATGTTTCTTTTCTGAAGCTTTGCTGTTTATGTAGCACTCCCAAGATATTTTGAAAACATTTACATACTGATTAGTTAACCCAACAGACCAACCCTGGGAAGGCAGCCAGAGCCCGCTGCACCTCCGTGGTAAGCTGCTGAGGGAAGAGACCTTCCCAAGCTGGGGAGCCTGGACCCACACCCTGCCATGCTGCTTTCAGAAGTGGCCTCTTTAACACTGAGCTGTGTTGCAGAGTCATTCCAGCTCATCCTCTGAGGTCACCTAGTTAAAGACGCTATGGCTCTGTTCAGTCTTGTCATATTTTGAACAACTGTCTGTGGGAAGAAAGCAAACAACTTAGGGTACCACTGAATTGTTTTGGGAAAAAAATCCATCGCCTTGGGTCCTAGCTGTATGTAGCAGTTTAAAGGACAGGATCTCTGTGTTACTGAGAGCTAGCTGCCCTTAGAGTTCTGACTCAAGGCTTTGTTTAGTTAAAGTGCTGCTTTTATTGCCAGTGCTCTTGGGGGTTGAACCCAGGGCCTTGCAAATGCTAAGCGTACACAATGTGCTGATGAGCTACACCTGTGAGCCCAGGTGGATGGATTGTAGTCAAGGGATCCGCTGAAAGCCTGGATGTAAATGGCTGAGGTCACCTTCCCAAGGGTATGTGTTATGTTTGGCACCCATCGATTGCATCATGAAGCTCTTCCAGGTGTGCAGGATTTGGGCTGCATCCAGTACATTAAAAAATTGATTATTGCATATAAGGAGAAAGAAACCTCTTACCCCCCACCCCCTCCCCGACCTGGTTTATTGAAACAGGGTTTCTGTTAGCCCTAGCTGTCCTGGAACTTGCTCTGTAGAGCTAGTGTCAAACCCAGCGGTCCACCAACCACTGCCTCCCAAGTGCTAGAATTAAAGGCAAGCATCACCACACCTGGCCTATGGAACATCTTATTCTTGAAGTAAAATACCTGGATGTGTGTAGTTTTAGCAGAAGATGACTGAGCTTTTTGATGACCAGGTTTTTACTGCTCCTAGGGATGGTAAATGCCTGGGACTGGGGTTTGTAGGATTGGGGTGGGGGATCAGGGTTATGGGAGGCAGGGCAACCGGGAATGAAGCACGAGTTGCTAGAGGTGGTGGAGTTCAGAGATGCTGTTCAATTCTCAGAAAACAGCTGGTGGCTCCTCGGGAAAGGTTGGAGTGGTGTTTTGCCCTTTCTCTTGGCAACTAAGCATTACCTAGAGCACCCTGGGACTACAGAGAGCCTCGGGGAATACTTTCTGTCACACTGCATGTAATTGCACCAGCAAGGCTAATTGAGTTGCTTTTTGAGTAAAAGGCATCTGGTCTCTTGTAAATTGGGAGGTGACTCAGGCAGAGCCTCTTTTGTCACTGTGATGCAGGAGTACCTGGGCTGACTGGAGTGGAAGTAACCACATTGGTCACCCCTCAGGTCCCAGCCTCAGGGCAGGTTGTCTGGAGCTCCCTGACTTACCTGGCAGCTCTGACCCTGTGGTGTCTTGCTACTAACAATGATCTCACCCCACCTGACTGTCAAGATAGAAGCCTTTCACTTTCCTGAGTCCTTGGGGCTGATGGGGGAGAAACCCTCTCAGGTCCAAGTTTGACAGACAGGCTATTTACCCCTGATCTGTCAGGAGGGGGAGACTCTCCCTGCCCAGCTCCTTCAGGCTGATAAAGTTACCTCTATTGCAACATTGCAGATTTCCCCCTGGTGCTAATGTACGTGGGCATACCATTGGCCAGGCAGGGCCTTGCCCCAGTGTCCCAAGTGGCTGGTGGGGTTGGGAGAAATGCGTGTGTCCAGAAGTGACCTGCCTCAACCTATCCTCCTCTCTGTCCTGCACAGGTGAGCGCTGCGGGCTATGGGATGGATGAGGTGGAGCAGGACCAGCATGAGGCCCGACTCAAGGAGCTGTTTGACAGTTTTGACACCCTGGGAACCGGGTCTCTGGGTCAAGAGGAGCTCACTGACCTCTGCCATGTCCTGAGCTTGGAGGACGTGGCCCCGGTGCTGCAACAGACACTGCTTCAGGACAACCTCTTGGGCAGGGTAAGACCTGGGGAGCAGTAATTTGGGGGAAGTGGGGTGTGGTTTCTGTCAGGGCGCTGGGGGTGGTGGTGGCAAGCCACAGGTGTGTTGCAACTTGTCTCTTGCAACCTGGCCGTTAACCTGGGAATTGCAGTTTGCTCCCGTGATAAGGGAGAAGTAAGTTGTACACTGAGCATGATAGGTAACGAGAAATAGGCCGTCTCCCAGGTTTTTTCCTTGTTCTTTGTGGGTCCTTTCATTGAAGCCGCAATCATCATTGGGACAGAGGAGGGAGGGGTGAGGTTTCCATGGAGAAGAAGAAAAAGGCAGGAAGAAATCTGCCCTTCACAGGAAGAGTGGGTCTCTACCATGACTTTTAAAAAGATGTTTCTTGTGTTGGGTCATTCTGAGGTGAAGATTAAACCTTCCATCCAGAAAGTAAGACAGGAAAGTAAACGGCTCAGGCCAGCATGTGTGTAAAAGCCAACATTAACTTCCACATTTGACAACAAATGTTTTTCCCCTAGATCCAAGTCACAAGAAAGAAAAAGAGAAAAGGGGGAACCCCTCCTCCAGCACCTTAGTAGTGAGACAGACGCTTGGTTTGTTTCTATCTGAGAATGCCTTCCGCTCTCCCACTCATGATCAGTAGCCTCATTTATGACACTTTGTGTAGTCTTTCGCTGTTGCTGTTGGAACGGGCAAAATGAAAGAGGCGGGACTTTTGAACTGTGTTGATAATTGTGACACTTTGTGCATGTGGTTTGTCATGCGCTATAACTTGAGGAAGTAGTCATGAACTTGATTCAGGCAGATAGACTTCCTCTCTTCATTTCCTGTTCACCGTCTTTAAACTGACAAGATGGATAGGTGACCCAAGGCATAGTAGAAGATATTGGCTGTGTGTCAAGTGAAGGAGACAGGCATAGCACTAACTCTGAAATTAATGTACAAAAGATGATGTTGGGAGCTGGACATGGATGTGAGATCAGACAGCTCACATTACACTTAAGGAAAAGGAAGTTGAATTTGTTGCAGAAAGTTAGATGTTTGTGAATATATGTAACACTTAGAAAATGCTAAAAAAAAAAAAAGACTCATTCTGAAAGCAGTAAGAGCAGGAGATTGGAAGATCAAGCCATTTACTCCATGCATGTTATATCGTGCCCTCCAGGGTTTTTGAGTACTGCCTTAAGTTTAGGCATGGTGAAGAACAGAGCATCATCCCCCAATCAGGCCTTTTGGTGATGAAGGGGTAGTTGCTTTACTGTTCCTGAAAGCACAAGGAGCCATGTTTCAACTGATGGTCTCCCCAAGAACCTCTCTTAGAGAAAGAGGGGATCCCCCACTGCACCCACATTCCACCACAGCAGCTGGCTAACAATTTGCTCCGCAGATGTTAGGCCAAAACCAGGGAACAGTTATCGATTGATTTGTTAATGGCTTGACACCAATAGTCTGCTTCTTACATTTGCTATTTGCCTGAATAATGAAGACCTAAGTGGTCTAGAGTGTGATATTTACTTAGTGAGCCGGTGATAAAGTTAAATAGATGTCTGCATGTTGATTTCAAGTGGGAGGTCCCTGATGATTGTCTTGAGAGACAGAGTGGGCACAAATTAATGCACTACTGTTAAATTTGCATTTTTATGACACTGAATTATTCTCCTTGGTTGATCGAATAAACTTGGCCATATGCTGTGAGGATGTCTCGTGGCTTATAATCTTAAGTTGTAAAGCAATAAATCTCTTAGAGTTTACTGGAGTCATTCTATTTGTCACCTTCATGATGCACTGCATAGGGGTCATGCATTGTTAAGGGGAAAGTATCGAAAATTAATTTAAAATGACACACAGTAACAGTGTGTACTGACAGGGTGTGGAATTTCAATACATGTGTGCCATGCGTCATGATCAAGTCAGATGACTGGCATTTCTTTGTGTTGGGAACACTACATACAAATCATTTCCATTGTCTCTTTTGAAATACTCTGTTAATCATTGTTAACTACAGTTATTCCATTTTTTTGCATTTTAATTTATTCTGTGTGTGTGTGTGTATGTATGAGAGAGAGAGAGCGAGAGAGAGAGAGAGAGAGAGAGAGAGAGAGAGAGAGAGAGAGAGAGAGAGAGAGAGAGAGAGAGAGCAGTGAGGGTCAGTAGTGGTGGTAGGTTCTCTCCTTCCACCATTTGGGACCTGGGAATCTAACTCAGGTTATCAGGCCATGGCATCAAAAGTTTTTTTTTTTTTAAACACAAGTTTTTGTTTTCATTGTTTCTGGTTTGTTTATTTTGAGACAGAGTCTCCCTATGTAGTCTTAGCTGGCCTAGAACTGGTTAAGTAGACCAGGCTGGCATCAAAGTCACAAAAATCTTCTTGCTTCTGTCTCTTGAATGCTGGGATTAAAGGGGTGTGCCACCATACCTGTCCTAAGTTGATTTTTTTTTTACTGTCAACTACCTGTCTTCTCTTAGAAGGAGTTTACAGAAAAAGTTAGGGACTAGGGACTAGGGATATAACTCAGATGGTAATGCGCTTACCTGGTATGTGTAAGGCCCTAGGTTCAGTCTCTGGAACCACTGGGGTAATGATAAGAACTAGAAGTTTGATAATAAAATAAAAGGGCAGCATGACAGATCGTAATATATTCATCAACTCATCAATTCAACAAATATATATTGTATGTCTTGTGACAGTCATTCTCTTTGTCTCATTTTATTGGTGCAGTTTATTAATGTTTACTGTAAACCATAGTAGTTCACGGAATTGGCTTTGGGATACATTTGGATCCATTGTCTTCCTAGATGCTGTAGGCGGACTTTTCTGTCCCACCAGCCAGTTCTCAAATAACAACACAGAGACTTCCTAATTATAAAAGCTCAGCTAATAGCTTATGCTCGTTACTAACTGCCTCTTACATCTTAAATTAACCCATATTTCTTATCTACTCTGTCACGGCTTGTTCAACTCCTGTTTCATCTTCACCTCTCTTTCAGACTCCTCAGACTCCTCCCTTCTTCTTCCCAGTGTCCTCCTAGTCTGGCTCTTCTACCCAGTCTCTTCCTGCCCAGCTATTGGCCAGTCAGCTCTTTATTAACCAATGAGAGTGATACATATTTACTGAGTACAAAGATTGTTCCACAACAAGATGCTTATGACTTTAATTTACCCTTTGAATATAAACGCCCTAACTGAATGTAACTTTTATTATATGTGTGTGCATTTCCATGCATTTATTAATAGACCATCTTCCTTCAAATTCAATTTAGTTGATCTGTCTGGATTTGTAACTTAAAGTCTGTATTACCCTGAGCCTGTTGATTGCTGTTCAGATGTGTGAAAGGCGTTACTTGTGGGCCCTTGATTTAAAGGAAAAGTTCTGGCGTGTATGTCCAGTCCATGCCATCAGCTAAGCACATGGGGCACCCCATCACTTTGGCCTCCTCGGGACACTGAAGTGTTGGCAGTCTATTGGGTGATACTCAGCAGGTGAGTGGTGAAGGGATGGATCATTCACACAAGGAAAGACGCTATGTCAACTCTTTGCTGGACCAAGCGTTTACCAAGCAAGTAACCCAATATTAAGTGCTTCCTGTTTCTTGTGTCTATATGTTTTTATTAATTTATGTCAGTTTTAAAAATCAGCATACAAAGCAATGGATTTCGTAACTTTCATAAATACTTTGCTGTGCCTTTTAGATGAGGTGTTCCTTCGAGGCTCTTTTTCTTTTATCAAAAATTAGGACAGAAAGGAGAGATTTTGCTTTGGCTTGATAGATGGCTTTGAGTTAGTTCAGATCTGATGGCTAGCTTAGGCTTAGTTTAGATAGATGGATTAGATTTGGCTTGATAGATAGCTTAGACTTAGTTGGTCTGACTGGAAACCTTCAGCCTATAGTCATGTGACATGACTCATATCCCTTTCCTTATCCACTATGACAACTTTGAGACAAGATAGTTCCCTGAAGTTTTGAAGGCTCCCATTGCTGTGTTTCTTGATACAAATCTAAAATACCCTGTGTTCTTGGCACACCTCTCTGAATGAAGACATGCCACCTGGCTACAAAACTTGCCACTGGCTCCCACAGTGCCATGGATATGTGGCCTTTGAAAGTTTTAATATTAAGCCAATTGGTGGTGGCACATGCCTTGAATTCCAGCACTTAGGAGACAGAGGCAGGCAGACCTCTAAGTTTGAAGCCAGCCTGGTCTTGTATAGTGAGCTCCAGAACAGCTAGGGCTACACAGAGAAATCCTGTCTTGAAACAAACAAACAAACAAAAGTTTTAATATTAAAATTTGGTAGTTGTGCAAATATATAATTTAGCTCCACTTTCTACCTACCTACCGTTTCAAAGTGCTTGGGGTTCTTTTTGGAATGTCAAGATAAAGTTCAAATGGTAGATTTGGTCCTTGCTTCCATTAAAAGCCTCTTATGGTTTCTTTCTCCTACCCATATTTAATTATTTGAAGAGTAAATCTGAAATAGAGAAGGACTCTGCTTATTTGGACTTGTTCTCAGTGTATGCAATTACACTTGATCGTCAGCTCCTGCCTATTTATAACCACTGCAATCACGCTCCTGTAGATATGGCTCAGCCGAAGTCCTTCAGACTGCCTGCAGCGGATGGGAGAGCTCTCTTTATCCTTCTGCTTAACCTGTAGCAGTGAGAACGGTTATTATTTGTGCTGGTTCTGTGACTCTGGGTAAATCACCCTTCTCATCAATACAAGAATCTCCTCTGGAGTTGACTGAAATTTCCACCATGCCCGCGTTCAAGCCGACATGAGGTCTGCTGGACTTGCTTCTATTCTGTCTTGATGATTTTGTGTCAAACCCCCTACACAATGAAATCTCATTTCCAATCCTGTGACTCCTTCAGTCTCACAGTATTTAGTGTGCCAGAAAGTAAGGGTAGAAGAGTGGATCTGGACTCCGAAAAAGTAGATTGGACGAGCACTGGACGGCCACTCTCTGTCTGTCTGCATTGCTTTCGTAATGCCTGATTTCTCAGCCAGA